CATTTGACCGTAAATTCTTTATCATAAGGAAAATAATTTCTTAAAAACATTCGTTTCTATAAATTATATTTATTGCAATGAACCACATTCCGCTTTTTCTTACATCAACTCTAGTTATATGAATGACAACAATGTTGCTACATACTTTCTTGTTCAAATATTTTGTATATTTTAACCTTCCTAGCTATCCTAAACTTATCATTCCGTTCACTCCTTGCGTTATTCCATTTTGATAAAGATAAATATGACTCAAGCCTTCCTTCTATATTGTCTTCAAATGCACAACTTCATTATTTGGTTAAATTGTGAGGATTCTGTAGTTGTATAAGCCAGAGTTTTATAGTTGTGAATATTTTTACAAACTAACAAAACTCCTGTTTATTGTGATTTAGCATTCAATACGGTTGAATCTAATGGAAAGATGTTATCGAGTGTATAACATGTAAGCATTCAATAGTTTTACAACAATGCCCTAATCCTTGTAATTATATTATATTAAATTTTTGATTACTTCTTGTATTCTGAAGATAAATGCTTATGCTAGACGGAAGATACATTGTCAAACCATCGTTTGGATTATAGATAAATGTATTGATAGTTTAATGTACTTCTAATGTAATCCTACAGCAAAAATGCGTCACCATAAGCTGCCTTGATTAATATCAATGCATTAGAAAATTTGCTCAATACCTGACAACTTATATAACTTGTAATATAATTGGTGTCTGAAAATGACCCAATATGTATGTTAAATTCCACTTCAAAAAGTGCATGTTTATGCTGTTAACGTACTTCAATCAAGGCACTAATGAACTATGGGTTACAATAAAAGAGCTTAAACTAATTCGGTGTTTATGTACTCCATCACTACCAGTGATAATCATTGTTAATAAAATTTTTAAAGAAATTGTGTTTCAGCCACATATTTATTGCTGGCTATTTCATTTAGAGTTATTTTACAATCTATCCTAATTCTTGTGCTTTATGAAGCACTTCTAGACTAATAACTTTTCAAACTTAAGAATTATATTAAATCTAAGCAGGTTAGGGCATTTATGCTTATATTGCCTAAGAAATAAATTTCAAAGATGTCTAATAATTAGTCAGATATAAAAAACATACTGTTTGCTTTGCGCCTCAAGTGTTGGTATTGCTTATTAATTTATTAATTGAATTGATGAAGAATGTGACACAAAAATAAAAAACAAAAACAAAAGACATTAATATATATATATTGTTGGGATCGCAAAGATTTGTAAACCATAGCTCTATATTGAATTTTTGTATAACCACTCTCTTCACCAAATGATTTTGACTTTTATTTCTGAGGGAAAAATAAAGAATACAACACTCAGTATGCTTGTTTATTTTGTGGACTCTAATGGTGCTATCTGAATCAGTTTTTTCATTTTCTGCTTACTTGAGATAATCTGTGGTTGATGTAGTTGTTCTTGTTTTAATTGCTCTAGGTTAATAAGAATATGACATGTAAATGTAAGTTTCCAATGATTTCCGCCCTTAGAGGTTCCTTTAGATCTGGTTGAAATTGGCATCACCATGGCTTAGGTCATGAAATTGATTTGTCTCTTTGCTAAATCATTCAAAGGTTTGCATAAAATAATTAGCATTGTACTGAAGCATTAATAATTAGTGAGCCTTCCACCCTAATGTTATAGGATAGCTATCCTCCACAAAATCACTGAATAGATTAAAGAATTGAATGTATTATAAATGATTGTCTCCTCTTATTAAACATAGTAGTTCTTTATTAATTCCTTTATTGTAGGGGTCTGAGTTAGGTTATCAGATTTTTTTCTACTGTCACCAGCTCCTTAGATTCTGATTCAGAATGTGATTCTATTTTGTTGTTTTATTATAATAATAACCATTTATTTTTATTAATTGTGACATCTGACAGCACTAATTTATTACAGTATAAATATAATGATTAAAATAAAAGGTTTAAGGGCAGTTCAAAGTCTATTATATTATGACAATTTAACGCTTGTATCAATTTATAATCAAACTTCTATAGGTAATGCATAACTACATATATATATTATGTGCTACTACTACTTATCAAAAATCAAAAGTAGAAAAGTTGTATAGTAATTGCAAATTTTGAGAATGATGGCAGCCATTCTGAATCTAATTCCGGTGTTTATCCTCTTTATTGAAATTCCTACTCTAAATGAACTGGAGAGCATATTAATGAACAATCTCCTAAAGTGTAGCTGTCAGCACGCACACTAAAGGTAGTAGTTTTCAATTCTTAAAAGAAGAATTCCGTATATTAAATGGAGGCAGACATAATTAAATCCTCTGTTGTTTAAGATTAGGATTTCTACGGTATCCTTTGCAAATTCTTGTGAAGTTAATCTTCTCGCTGCTACCACCGTTATTTGGGTGTTAATTTTGATCTACAAATAACCAGATTAAGATCAAATCAAATGGCAATATCTATCAAAGCAGATGTAATCACAAGTATTAATTAAGAATGAATCAAAAGTATGTGACATCGGCAAATATTTAGTATTTAATGAGATATACTTTACAGAGACACAAGACTCTCATTTAAATGAAGCAGTTAATTTGAGAATTAATGATGATTACTTGTAACCAGAATCAAGGATAATCCCACTAATCAGCATAATCAGCGATATAATTTCAAGAAAAACAGCATAAATCAGGATATTTATCTACAGTACGAAGAAGATTGATTTTGTTTCCAAAAAATGTATTAATATACAGAAGACGCTTTGTACTTAATCAATTTAGTAGAGTTGATAATAGTAGATTTTAGGGCAGGTAATAGAGTCAACCAATTTTTAATCAAGTTATTGAACACTTTTAATTATTTTCTAGAGATTATAAACAGAAGAATGAGAGTGGATTATAGGGGCGCAAGTCTATTAAATAGTTTATTCGCAAGCTTTACTATCTTATACAAATCAAATTCATTATTTTGATCCAAAACTGCAATTATAGTTGGGCATTTTGCATTGCACATTCGTCATGAGGGCATGCAAATATTAAGAATAACAGTAATTTTAGAAATCAGAATCTCATAACACCTGTATGCTACATGTTAAAAATTTGTAATTTAAAAGATAATAAGAGTTTCAAGCAGCACACATTTATGTGCATGAAGTACTTGATCCTAATTTTAACCTAGAAACATATTAATTCACTTTAAGATGCTTACTTACTTCTTAAACAAACTTTCTCTTTTTGAGACTTATTAACTGCACAAAAATTTGGAACCAATTGGGTATGAATTATTTGAAAGATGTCTCAAAAGATATTAAATTGGTCATAGATTTTAAAGAGCCCAAATAATGAGCAAATAGTAGAAATTTATTGGAAGATATTAAACCATAATTATTGTTAAGTTTTTGATTGGTAGTTGAGATTGGGTTAAATCTCCTGCAGGAAGTTGTTTTGATAAGCTCAAATCTGAGATGCAATAAGAGAGGTTTTCGAAAGTAAGTGAATTATCCAAAGATGTAAAGATGTGGCAATTATAATAAATAAGATTTCATAATGTACATGAATATTAAAATAACAAACAAGATCAAATATTTAATTAAAAAAAAAAAATTAAGTGATGTAGATGGTCTTAATTATATTTAATGTTGAAAAAATTGAAAAGGCTAAGTAAAATTGTAACAGCAATTATAAAATTATCTTTCGTAAACATGCTTTGGAGTAATAATTGCTTCTATGAAAGTTTATAGTAATCATGTGGGATCATGAACAATTAAAGGGTGAAGCAAGATGTACGGTTGAATATTAAGAATACTATATCATATGCTAAACCTTAGCATGATATTGTTTTAAAGATAGAATAATGGCTAAGTTTTAAGCTAAATTCAAAGACTTTGATTAAAATTCTATTGTGAGATTGAAGATTGGTTTGCGCATGGTAATGCAATCCTGCCTTAAAATTTTTTATATATGCATCCAGCAGAATTGAAATGATCTTGATTGCATAATCAATTTATATAAGGATATAGTTTTTATTGAAGAGTTCTATGTAAGAATGCTAGGCTCTGCATTCTAATTATAGAGCATGATATTGTAATTAAAATTTTTCTTATTTTAAATATCTGGTTATTGTTTCTGTCATTTTCCTCTTAAATTAGAGTTTAATGACAGTTAGGACTATATAAATTTAAAAATCTTAAAAGTAGTTTGCATCTTTTGCTACAAAACAATTTTGGATTTCCAAGGTTTGGCATTATTTCTGAGAACATTTATACCTCAAAATAGAAATCAAAATAGACTTTCTGAAAGTAAACCCTATATAGGTTGAATCTTCTGCTTAAATGCACCATTATTTAATAAATAACTAAAATAACACTAATGACATAAACTTACAGCTATTTCTCCAATTTTATCTTAATATCATTAGAGTTCCTTTTCAATTTATCATATTCAAACATATATTTCTACATCTATTTGTTTTCGAATAGGTTTATTGAGTATAATTGCCTTGGAAATATTGGTATCTATTATTTTAAAAGTATATACTTTGAGAAAATGTAAATTGTATAAATCAATTTAATAATATATGAACAAGAAATTTGGTTTAGCTAAGAAACCTTTTTGATAATTTATTATATAATACAAATCCTGAAATTCCTTCTTGCTAAAATTATTTCAAACTAACATCTCAAGACAAGTAAATCTTCAAACCTAGGTGTACTCAAAAATGTTAGCTATAAACTATAAATTGGTCAAAATGTGTCTTAAATTAATTTTCAATGATCACAGTACCAATAATGAGGATATAATAAATTGTGATAAATTTTCACAAATAAGTAAATTGGGATTATTCATATCTAATTAATTAAATTTTCCTTAATGAAGGAGAAGCGGTGATTGATTTACTAGAATGTAGTTCATTTTCTTCCAAATAGTTTGAATCATTTATGAAGATACTAAACTGTATCTTAGGTAACTATATAAATAGTTAAAATTTACTTCGAGTTGGCTTACTTTGAAAGATATTTTAGATATAAATATTTTTGATGATATTTGGATGGAATTTATTGCAATTTAACCATTTTGTCATATCAAATATTATTGAACTTGATAATTGATATTTATATACATCTAGAATTTCTTTAAAACAATTAAATTTATTGGAGAAAGAGTTGATTTTAATGGAAGTTGTAGTTCTTTAAGTACAAGAGAACTTCTTATTTTATCATCCAAAATAATTACTTAGTTTCTGGTAAATAGAGAGTGTTATGATTTTATGATAGGAAGGTCTATGCTTAATATTAGCAAGAATTGTGAATGAAAACCATGAATAAGTGGAAAATACTTCCAATATTTAAAATTTAGAGGTTAGGTCGATCAGATGACATAACAAATAGACGAACAAGAAATACTAAAACTTAATATAATTAAGAAGAATAAATTCATATAAAATTACTAGGGTGCCAAAATATGCGTTAACAGGATATGTAAACATACTTTATATAAATGGAATTATAACTTATAATGGACCATTTGTAGAGACTCCCAGGAACTTAGTCGAGAAAATTGAAAAGATTTTGGAGGGTTTTACAAAAATGTTTAATTCAAAGGTTCAAAAAGTATTTAAGTGAAAACAATACTAAGTGGATAGGTTTCTTACTGAAGGTGAAGGAAGCTTATATCAATAAAGAGAGAAACTCGGAAAAGAGAACTGAAATTAAGGATAAAAAAATTACATAAAATAAATGAAAAAAAAAAAAGTTGATTAATCAAAAAAATTAAATTGAATTGAATAATTAAAAAATCTGACTTAAGATGAATTGTGTTTTGAATAATCAGCTGTAAAATTGTTCTAGGATATAGAGAATCTCTTAGAAAGCCCAATAATTTAGCAATTATTCTGCATTTGGTATAACAAAGAATGATTGAAGATCGTCTGAAAAAATGTCAAAGAAAATTAGTTTATTGTTTCAATTAATGCAAACTTAATGAAAAATATACAGACAATTCAACCAAATATAATATAAATACTAATCCAAGATTGCAAGTCCTAAAAATTTTATTTAGCAATTTACATAATATTTCAAGTGAACCCTTCCAAGCATTTTTCAATTTTAACATCAAATCAATTATGTCTTGGATTTTAAATATATTTCTTTTTGAAGTCGAAGATTTATCGAAAAATAACTTACTTGTTAAATTATTTCAACTCCTCCTCATCTC